TAACATTCTTCCAAAAATCTCCCAACTGGGGCAGTGGTTAGTGACGATGCCTGCCGTACCGAAGGCACCGGGTCCGGAACCCGGAGAAGGTATGGATATTTTGAATGTATATTGTTCGTGCGGCATGGGGCACTCTAAATATGCGGCGAACCGAAATTCCTCTCGGTAGATTGCAGGTAGGGAAGACCGTTGGACCCATCTCTTCGGTACGCTCTCCTTCAAAACTAGAGGCGGACCTTAGTAAAGCCCTATTGAGTATGGTGCTCAGGGCTTTTACCAACTGCAGGCATAATCTTGCACTCCTTGCCACGATAAATTTCGGGATCTTGTTCTGATGCTAAGTGACATAATTGACAACAACAACAATAATTATCTTTTCTTGCTTGCATTTTCAAACATTCGAGTAGCATAAAAAATTTCAATGATGTCAGATAGTCTTATATTTTTATCAGAACTTTCCTACATCATAATATAGCATTTCAGAAATCAGATTATTTTTTTAATCCCAATCCATGGATTAATAGCTAAAGTTTTAGCTACATTTCGAAGTTTAGTAAGGAGATTCATTGCATCGAAAATAGCGAGCATCATTTAAAACATCGCAGTTTTCATCTTTTTCCAAGTCGAGTTGGAAATTTTTGTATGTTAAGATATACGAATAAACAACAGAATGAATAATTCTGAATTCAGTGAAAACTAAAGTTTAACGATCATAATTAATTATGCATTAACCGTCGATGCAAGAGCTCTTCAGAACTTCTGTTTCCTCTTTAGAATTCTCTCATGTACTTTATGTAGTGGTCCTGTAATTTAAAAAACCGATTTAAATGATACGAGTAGCCCGAATATTATAATAGTTAGCAAAAGCAAAAACGTTATAAATGTTGCATTATCAATGAACTCCCATCGAAAATTTGGGAATGTTCGATACAAGTTAAGGGATCACTGTATTTTTACATTTCGTGGAATCGCTGACAATCGTATCTGTAAACGGTAAGACAGGAAAACTAAAATTATTTACAGTACACTGCAATTCATTTTCTCAGGTTTATGATAAGTACGTCTATCAAGTGTGTACTAGCTGTTTAATATGTTTTGTAATTTTCTTTAAAGAATAAATCGCAAGATCTACTGCATTAGTTTTACATAATATCAAACAGTATTAAGTGGTGTGTACGTACCTCGACATAATTTTAAATGTGTGAAAGCATGGAAATAGGTTATGTTCAAAGTATGCAATTTTGTGTAAATGCCTTGAATACTCTTCACATAGTGACACACAATACAGTAATCCAGTCAATTATTTTTGAAATTTTCATGCAATAACTGAATTTTTAATGTAAAATACGTTAAGGGATTCCATGAAAAATGCCTCTGAAATTCATTTCCATATTTTTTATGTAATACCAACCTTAATTACTGGAAAGTATCTCTAGATTCTTTGTTATATCCTGTTGCAGATCAATGCAGCTACAATAATACACGTGTGTGGATGTAGTCGATTGAAATAATATTGCGCAATACTGTGTTCTATTGTGTTTCGGGAGATGCTTCAGAATTGAATGAAAATAACATCGAGAGGCCGTCTCGGGCGCACAGGTGTCGTTAAGTAGGCATGTAGAAAACCGGGATTCAAGGTCAGCCAAGACCCACGAATTGACCCTGCAGTGGAAACCACCCTCCCGGGGTGTACCACTGACCTCGATCTTACGAGACGGATAAACATTGCAATCCCCCTCCCGCTTCAGAGCGCATAAATTACAAACGAGAATTTTTTTTAACCCCTGTAAGAGGACATTCGACTAAAATCGTACGCACTTCATTATTTTTTAATCACCTTGGATACTTTCTACAACTTCACTACAGTTTCGGAATTAGGTCAAATAAATATTTCGTTTTCGGTTTTGGCAGCAGTGAAAAATTAATTAATATATATATAGGTAGATATATATCTTGAATGAATAGATGAATAAAGTAATGTAATATATATATATATATATATATATATATATATATATATATATATGCATACATTAAATGTGTGAATCGTCTGCACTGTGATCTTCTGATGCGTATATAACGTTTTATTCAATTTTTAAAGATAATGGATTTTACTTTTCATTGTTCAACTAATGTGGAAATGCATTCAATCCTTGCTACACAATGAGAAAAAGAATGTGGGCAAAATGAATACTAATAAAATTTCAAAAAGTTATTTAAAATGTTTATTTGATTGATAGAGGTTTATACAAAGCATTCGAAAAATTGTAGTAAAAAATAATAAACTTTCTTGTTAGGCAGTGCGCAAAATAGTACTTCTGTAAGCTAAATAGGTGGCATATAGAGTCAAAAATAACTTAATTATAATAATAATGCAAATTTTCATCAAAATATTAATCTCATGTAATTAAAAATTGCATCAATTAAATGTTTTTATAAATTGCATTAATTATGTAGCGTTATAAAAAAAACTTGGAATATTATTAAATAATACGTTTATTGCCTTTAAATAGCTCAATTTGTTAATCAGTTACTAAAGTTACAGTTCGAAAGTTGTTTTAAAGATTTTATATAAACAGGCACAAACGTAAACTGTAGAATTAGGCAGAAAAGAAACTTTAGATTGGCAGAGATTTTATATATTAATTTTGTAAAAGACATGTACAGTTCTCCTTTTTTTGGGAGCGAAAGGATTTTCCTTTCCCTACTGAAAGAAAGCGAAGAATATCTGTCGCCCTCGTTAGAGTTTTCTATAAAATTTTTATGCTTTACTGTGTGAGTGTCTTTGATTATGGCAAAGCCTCGAGAGCTATCAGCCTAAGGGGAGGAATGCCTTCGTGGAGAACTTTCTAAGGAAAACTGGCTCATATACATTACACATGGGGAAAAACCACGAAAACGCCCATGCAGCTAGCCCGTTCGCGGGATTCGAACCTGGGGCCGAATTACCAGTGTTCAGCAACTTTACCGCTGGGCCACTAGTGGGCTTTATGCTTTGCTTAAGAAGTTAGTTGAATTTTGCCATTACAATAATAGCCAATTGTATATTTTAGAGTTAACTGATTGTCGAGGTGCTTAGTTAAAACTGAAAATTTTTAATTACCTGAAATGATTTGCTTGATTTAATTTTTTGTGACCTAGTAATTAACAATCAACTGTACGTACTTTTCTCTAGTGTCTTAGTACATAATAATGGAATAGGTGGTCCTCATCTGAAAAAAAAAAAAAGAGCTCTTACCCATAAGACCCAAGGCTAAAGGAAAAATACTGTTAAACTTAGAAAAATCTAACGTCAGCCACTCTAAATTTTTTAATAAACAGATACTGTCTAGGCAGATTTGGATAATACAGCCATGAATTTTTATTAGATCTGTATTTACAAGCAACTTATTACATACAATGCATAAGAACATAATTTCAAATATTACAAAGTCATTAACAAACTACAGTAAGGAGTTTGTAATGCTCAAATGTCATTAACAGTAGTATTAATGGATATGTAATATTAACAAATATAGAGAACGCCTATATATTAACAGTATGTGGCTATAATACATAAACTTAATGTTTCCTTTGGATACTGGACGTTTGTCGAGAGAAAAGTGATTAAATTAAATTGCCCCTCAGGTGGTACTGGAAAAACTTTTCTCACAAATCATTAATCTTTTACTGGCAAAAGTACGAGTTAAGATACACATTGTACTGGCTCTTGCATCATCCGGAATTGCTGCTACATTGCTAACGGGGGAAGAACAGTTCATTCAGCATTTAAATTGCCATTAAATATAGGAAATACCAAAACACTAACATGTAATATTTCTAGAAGTTCTGCCAAAGCAAAAGTTCTACAAGAGAGCAAAATAATTGCGTGGGATGAAAGCACAAAATCTTACAAAGCTGCGTTCGTAACCCTTGATATTACTTTGCAAGACCTGAGATATAACAATAGAAGAATGAGAGGCATTATATTGCTACTTGCCCGAGATTTTCGTCAAACATTTCGACCCGAATTCGATTTTCGACCCGTTGTTCCACGGAGGATACGAGCTGATGAAATGCATACATGCTTAAAACCATTTAAAAGCCAGATTAAGAAGGGTGGCCGCATAGCTGTTAGTAATACATAATTTTGCAATATAATAACAATACAATATTCAACAGATTGATATAAAATCTTAAATCTGGTTTTTGATACATTACATTTTACAGAATAGTTTGAAAATTGTATTTGTCTACTGTTCTGCTTATAATGAAAATTAAATAAAAGATTAATTTTATTACTTCTTGAAGAAAAGGTGGAATTTTATACTTTTACTGCATGCATAAATTTACGTAAAGAATTTTACTATAGCCATCTGAAGCCATAATATTCGAAAATCAAAGATTTTTAGGGACATTTAATCCAATACGTTTAAAATAAATTCAGATCAAATTTTGCATCTCTGAGATAAACACTGACATAATGATCCCTATACATATCGCATAGTATTAACTTAATCTGACTATAATCATGCATTTCCAGTGTTTATAACAAAGTATCTGGAAGTAAAAAAATCTTAACTTTATATAATTACTCTAAATATAAATTATAAGCAAATGCAAACAAATATTTATAAAAATTACAAGGTATTTCCTTCCTCCTTTTCACGAGTCTTCGTGATGTAACTGGATAAAACGTCCGGCTAGTAATCTGGAGGTCTGGTGCTCGAATCTTGGCGAAGGCATAGTGCATTTTTCCCCGTCTCCTGCATAAAAAAAAACGAATGACTCTACAAAATTTAAAATAATATTGGAAATGACTTATTTTATGGAAAACGGAACTCAAATTATTAACCCTGCTTATTCAAATATGATAGAAAAGATTAATGGAATGCAAGTAATATTTCTCTATATTATCTTTAGACTGGGAATGGGGATACGTTTTAACCTAAATATTAAAAATTGGCATGCGAGAAGTAAACGTAAGGGTTAACAAAAAGAAATTACTCAAAGCATTTTCTTACGGAAAGCAGTTTTATACTTACTGCCCGCTATATGGAAAAACGGAAGTTCCTGCATGGCTCGTTAATTCAAGTAATATCATTATCTGCTTTGGTATAATTTACAGAAAAAAAAACACTTGTTATGCTTATGTAATAACTCATAGAGTAAACAACGAGCAATAATCTTATATAGAGTAAGTACATAAATACTTTAATATTTTCAGGTTTAGCTATTAGCTGTTCATCACATGGCGATCTACATACCATTCTCATTCATTTAAATTAATTTAATGGATACTTAAAATATGTACTATATTACATAACCTTTTCATGTTATTCGAATAAAAGGAAAAATTAAAAGAAACTAACAACAAGTTTAATTTTGCCTGGCTTAGAAGCAGCAACAACTAATTCAGATATCTGGAAATCGGACAATTAAAATTCTCGTTTGAATTTTCTCATTATAACTAAAATAATGAGCAAATTCAAAGAACGAACGTTGTATATATTTACTGCTTAATCCTCAGTGCAACGTAACGTGAACTGTACCTTGAGAAAGCAAGTAGTTTGTACACTAAAAGAAAGAAAGCCATACCAAACGGAGATTAGCAGCATGCCTGACTTTCAAACAAGAGATCTAAATCAGCATTCCTTGAAATCTGATTATTATCAAATGAAACTCGATCGAGCAAATGTTTTAAATAGGTTGTTGTTTGTTGTAAAAAAATAAACGCATCAGGTCAGAGAGTTTCTTTCTGAAACATGCTCGGAATGTTAATAGAAAAGAAGAATTGAAGCTTCATATACGGAAAAGAGATTAAGAAGAGAAAAAAAAAAAAAGCAGGTTATCTCAAAACAGTTGAAAACACGAAAAAAAAAATATGGAAGGTCTCGAAATTTTCCGAATTTCTACTTCTTTTTTACTAGCAATTACAATAGCAAGCAGATACCTCGAATGGGCAGTTGAATGGTATGATGATGCAATTTTGTTTTGTTGTGTTTTAGAAAAATTAGAAAATAATCAATTTAAAAATAGCTGTTTAAAAAACACAGGGTTAAAAAGAGAGAGAAAGCATTTAGTAAGCAAAGACAGCATAAATATATCCAAAAGCAACCCACCTAAAGGCTCACCCCACTATTTGTTTTCCATTCACTTTCCAATATCTCGGAGAGATGTAGTTGCTTTACTTTATACTTTTCGTCTTGTTCAAATAAAGACCAGAAATCATTATCAGTTGACGATACCTAAGATTTCCCATTTATCTTTTACATTACAAACGTGCGTTGGTCATAAATGTAACAATATGACGAGTTTAAAGTCCATTTTATCTGCATTTTAGAAACATTATTGAATAAATGTTATTTTATACCATGAACGGTATAAAAGAAATAGATTTTTATAACACTATGGGGTCAGTTGCAATAGTACTAAGTATGCTGCTTGTTTACTCGCTCGTCAGCATCCAAAATAAAATGTGACGGTAAATAAAATTTTGTAAGAAAGAGTTGTCTCTATTTTCTCTATAGTCTTTTTCTGAATTTTGTTCAAATAATAATAAGCTTTCGGAAATGGTAATGCGTTTTTACTTCCTTGTACGAAGTAAAATGAAAGTATTGCAATCGCGAAAGGTTTCAGGCAGCAAATTTCAAGAAAAATATCCATTTTGACCGCTATCGAATGCAATTTAACGATGGTTTTGCGTGATATCTGTACGTAAGGACAGAATAAAAGACTCGTTTCCTCCAAAAAAATTATAAAACTGCTTTAAAATGAATTCTGAAGAGAATTTTTCGTGGCGTCTGTACGAACGTATGTACGCACGTATCTCGCATAACTCAAAAACGAGTAGCCTCAGAACGTTGAAATTTTGTATATAGGACTGTTATAACATGTAGATGTGCACCTCGTATTTTGGTTGCAATCGGCCGCACCAAAACGTATATAATTATATATTTATATATATATCCATTCTGTTACTCGGCACAGTGATCTCAGTTTTTTTTACTCTTATATGTTTGTAAAGTGTACATTTTTTTGCTTAAAAATGATTGAATTATGTTGTTCTTATTTTCCGATTACGGTTTTTATGCCTTTATGTTACGTTATGTTATGTAGAAGTGAGGTCGCCACCTAATATTTACCCTAAGTAAGCAGTTTTATGCCTTAAATCTGCAATCAATATTTGTACAATTATCAACAATTTTAAAAGATGTTTAAGTGCGGTTAAGCCTTAAGTTTTAAATAACATGGCGGACGTATTTGTTTACATTTGAAACAGCAGAATTGTAGATTTGTTACCAATCTAGAGAAAAAAAAACTTCGCAACAACAAAAATAACGCCTTCATTTATTATCGCCAATTAAATCATGCGTAATCCTTTCTGGAATTTTTTCGAGGAAATAAGTGTTTAAGATTTGCTTCGTAATTTTTAATACACATATTTTGAGTTTTTATGTATTTTTGCCTAGTCGCGAATTGAGAACTGAATTAGTTGAATGAGAAGTACTCAATCGTCTGTGAAAAACTGTTTCTTTTCTGTTTTGTTTGCTTAATTTCTTTCATACATCATTCTAGCTTTATTATAGTATTTGAATAGAACATGTGGCAACGATAAGATAATTCTTCAAATGATATAAATTTTGTGCATTCAGAGTGTCGTTATAGTAAACAAATATAGTGAATTTTAAAGAGTACATTTATTCTATTATGGTTTATGCGCTGTCGACGAAGTAGATTTAATTCAATTCAATCAATTTAAATGAAAATTTATGAAAAAAAAATGCGTATAATTTAATATTCCGTACAGGAAGTCATGTGGTGTACACATCAGATTTTTTTCATGTATTATCAATACCCCCCTCTTTTTTATTTTATAAACACAAAAAGAATGCAGAAACAATTATCGTAACTTTCCGAAAATAATTCTTCTTTGAATAGATTTTTAACATTATTTAATAATAAAATTTCATTGGATCAGTTGGCAACATCAATGGTTATTGTTTTTAATTATTTAACTGTTAAATTCACTTTGAAGTGTAATCTAACTAAGTTACTAAAACTCAATTCTTTTCGAAATCAAATTTTTGCAACAATTTTCCTCAGTTACTTTTGCGCAGTGAAGAGTCCTCCCCGTTTCCTCTAAATTATATGTGCTCTATTTCTGCTCAGTGAAGTTTATGAAGTTCTATAAATATTTAGTAGTTCTTGCTCATATAGTCGACTGCAGGATACCTGAATGCAAAGCATTTACGATTATCCAAATAAAATATTTACAAGGTATTTTCTTCCTCCTTCCTACATGCCTTCGTGGTGTAAAGGATAGCACACTCTGCGTATTCGAGAGATCCAGGTTCGAATCCCGGGGAGGGCAATGGTCATTCAAAATAAGCCTAATGTCTGTGTATATCCTCAAACTGTACTATTTTTACACTGTAAGAAATTGGATAAAACTTTGGGGCACGCATGGTTACTTCGCATTCTAATCGGTCCTTTATGGTTAAACTGAAAATTTCATCGTAAGTGCGTAGAACTTGTTAACTGTTTCAGATTACTCAGATGGCAAGATCATCTAATCATAATCCAAATTTAGGTATCACAATATAGTGATGCGATTTTAAATTGGTGATTTTGAGTTACTATTTTCTCATCGTTTAGGATGACGAAATCATTAATAATCAAATTAAATACGGCAGAATAAGCCAAAAATTAATTTAGTTTGATATCTACTGAATAGAATAAACTAATGACAGGCTACAACTTTTCTCTAATGATATCAAAAATATCAATCAAATAGTGAGTCAAAACTATCACTAAGGTTTTTATCTGCATTTTAGAAATTCTGGTTCATCTGTAGCTCAGTATTAATACTACGTATTTTCCTTACTAGCATTTCGAAAAATCATTTATTACCTTGCGAAACTGATGGTTTTTAAAAGCTGAGAACTAAGCAGGCAATTTTTAATACATGAGATTATATCATTTAGTGAAAATATGTTGTTTTAAATGCATTATACTTCACGAAAATACAACTTCAGATCAGTCTGTGGCAATTTGTGGTTCAAAAAAGATAAATGCTTAAATCATGCGACTATTCGCCAGACGGGTTCGCTTTGTGACTAGTGAGACATAACTGCACATGAGATTTTTAAATTTAAAAATAAATAAATAAATAAATAAAACAAAATAACAGATTTCAGTTTGGAGTCATAAATAATTCCAAATAAATACATCGATTTTCAAAATGGATTATAAAACACAGAGACCTAAACGAAGGGAAAGATTTTTTTGGTGGGGATGAGGAATTATTATTTCTCAACCAACAGAAAAACAATCCAGTTATATAAAACATTTCAAAACATTTCATCAACCAAAAGCTATTAGTCTCGGAAAGCTGTTAATCTATTTTATTAGCTATTAGTCTCGAAACGGGATTTCGTATTATTTCACTTTTCATTCGAGTCTGTAGCCATTCGGAAAAACATAAGTTATTATTCTTTATTATTTCCTTTGTCTGTTATTAATTAACAAACTAAACTATTTGAAAATAATAGATGCAGCACTTAAAAATATTAGTTTTTTACTTTTTAATCTGGTTGGTTTAAATAAAAATGCATTTAATTCATGATATATTTAATAAAACTTTTAACTATTTTTCTAGAATTATATTAAATATTTTTTTCACTTTTTCAATATACAGAAGATATAAACGCTCCCACGTTACTGTAAACATATTCATCTGATATCCTATAAAACGTTTCGCTAGTCCACCTGGGACATTCTATCTATAATTTCCACTGATACTATATCTTTATTATCTACTGATATATCTTTATTTTTATATATTCCGTTTCTTTCTTATTCTATCTATAATTTCTACTGATATATTAAACTTTAAAGGACAGCTTTTGGGCATTCGTTAAAATTTTAACCCTTTTAAACGTTTTTTCTTCTTTTCTGTCCTTCTTTTTAACACCTGACCTGCTATCAGTCTCAAACTTCCCACTTTTGTTCGTACCACTTTCCAAATATGGCCGACAAATGTTATCACCATGTATTATTTTTAAAGAAATAATATGGCGAATATACAAAAATGCATGACAACATTTAACACTATCAGGAATTCTAAGAACATCCGATATAAAATATTAACTTCTACTCGAAGTTTTTTTTTTTTTTTTTAATCATTTGGCGAATTGAACGATATTTAACTTTCTTTTAAATTTAACCTGCCTATTATTGAAGAAAAAAATCTGATGCGTACACCACATGACTTCCTTGTATTGGAATATTAAATTATACGCATTTTTTCTTGCATTTCATTTAAACTTATTGGATTGCATTAAATCTACTTCGCCGACAGCGCATAAACCACAATAGAATAAATGCATTCTTTAAAATTCACTCTAGTATTTGTTTACCATAGCGACACTCTGGCGCTAGATTCACTTAACAGTATTAACCCCTTAACTGCAGCGGAAAACGTACAAGATTCATTTCCCAGTGCCACGGTTTTTCACGCAGGCTCGCGTAGTTATGCGATGTATTAGGGGAAAATAAGGATAAGTTTTACTTTCTAAAAACTGCACTTTCTTTACTTTCACAAAATAAAGAATAAAAGAAAAAAAAATGAATGCACAAAATTTAATGATTTGAGTAAAAGTATAATAAAAAGATGTAAGTATAATGAAAATGATGTTTTTATAATAAAAAAGATCCCTAAAATGGAGTTTCGATCAAGTCATTTTTAGACCAGTTAAGTGTAATATCAGGCTTCAGTGTTATTCCTTGTGAAATCAGTATGCCTAAAAAAACATATATTTCTTCCGAACTGGTTGAATGCCATGATTTTGTTCTTGGTTTTTCGTTTGCAAGGTGTTGGCTCATATACTCGTCTACAAAACGATTAGTTTCAGTAACAATATGAAGCCCGAACAATTCATCAAAAAATAATTCAAAAAAGATAAATGGGTTTGAAACATCCATAATATATTTCTTTATTCCTGCAACCTATATAATCAAAAAGGAAACGAAAACGGAGGACACAGAATAAAAAAAAAAAGTACATTTTACTCAAACAACACCAGCCAATACCGCGCAATCATTACTTTCACCTCTTTAGACATATCCATCTGACTAATTTCTCTCCACACTTCTCTGAAATAGTATCGTTCTTCGCATACTTTGTCAAGGTCATTGTGGTGTTGCATTCCAAAGCTTTGCGAATAATTTTGCAGGTAGCAGCACAAAGCAAATGATAGTATTTTGGAAGGGCGTATATATACGTCCGGGGCAGTTAACGCATCGGCTGAGCAAGGCGTATATATACGCCCGCGGCAGTTAAGGGGTTAATAGTTATATAACAGTTAACTTATAATTATACAACGGAAACTAGGTTAACTGTTATATAATCCAGTAATTATATAACAGTTAACTTATATATTTCGTTCATATTATAACTCATAATGCACAAAATTTATATCATTTAAAGAATAGAATTATCTAATCGTTGCCACATGTTTTATTCAAATACTATAATAAAGCTAGAATGATGCATAAAAGAAATTAAGCAAACAAAACTAAAAAGAACAGTTTTTCACAGACGATTGTGTATTTCTCATTCAATTAATTCAGTTCTCACATTGCGAGAAGGCAAAAATACATAAAAACTCAAAATATCTATATTAAAAATTGCGAAGTAAATCTCAAACACCTATTTCCTCAAAAAAATTCCAGAAAGAATTAAGCATGATTTAATTGGCAATAATAAATGAATGCGTTATCTTTGTTGTTGCGAAGCTAAGTTTCTCTAGATTGGCAACAAATCCACTAGTCTCCTGTTTCAAATGTAAACATCAATGGCCGACAATGCTTGAACCAAGCAAAAATGCGATTCTACGCAACAGAACCAGGTAACAAAAGTGATTCGAGGACGAGTTTCGAGATTTTCCTAGACTAAAAAAGCTGTGCAATGTTTATATACTTTATCGAGAATTCTAAAGATATGCTGTTTTTAAGTTGCAGAGACATCAGGATTTTTTTTTTTTTTTTTTTTGGAGGCCGGAGAGATGAAACATTAACAACGTCTTCGCCGAGAATCGAACCGCGGACCTCTATAATACCGGCCCGGCATGCAGAACCACTACACCCCGAAGGCACATTAAGAAGGTGGGAGAAATACCTTATAAAGTTTTTGTAATTTTGCTGTTTGCATATATGTGTCGTAAGTGCTAACAAAAGATATATAATGATTAGGTTAAAAAAGACAAAACGTTGTGTCAATGGGAGTGAGTCCAAGACAGACAGCTAACCTGCAAGTTGAACCAGAGGAAACACCAAACCTTCCGATATGTTGAATGTGTGAATAAAAGGGTCGAATATTTTTGCTTCTTTGAACAAACTTTGTCCAAACTTTTGTGAATGAAAACTTTGTCCGTCTCTCAAGGCATAAAAATCACATACTTGTAAATATGACTTCAGTGTTAGAAATGTGAGCGAAAAACTACTACTCTTACCAACAATTATTTGAAAGCACAAGATTTCATTGCTACGCAATAACTTCCTGAAAAGGATATCTTAAACCTTGTACAAGGAGACACCGCGGCACCTATGACACCTGCATGTAATCATTAGTTCTTGGTGACAACTTTTAACTGTTTGTTTAAGTTTTGACTAAAATAAACCTCGACTGAGATATGAACCAGGGATATTTATTCTTACTCAGTTTGAAAGAGAGGACTTGACTTCCCATTCGGAATGGAAAGCATCCCGTCCAATGCAATAATGATTGAAGGGACCCTCTATTTTCGCCTTGATATCCACTTTAGCTTATTACAACTCTAAAAAACATAGATTCTAGACTTTATGCCATGTGCAATGTTAATACTAGACTTTTACCTTAACAATTCCTCCTCGGAGGCATCCCTTGTCTTAGGCAGATAACCCTCGAGTCATACTCCTCGGAGGCATCCCTTGCCTTAGGCAGATAACCCTCGAGTCATATTATTCCTTTCTAACAAAGTGAATTTCTCTCTCTCCCTATTCGCTTCCAATTAGGACATTATGTTTAAGATAGTTTCATTTTATAATTCGATCAAACGCAACTATTTTAACTTTATAATATGAACTTGTGATTGATACTATGCGTTTTAGCTACATAACCTGATTTATTATGCTTACATGGTTTTTATTCAATCTTCAGCTGTTTTAAATTATTTGAAAAGAAGTTTTACGTGCATCACCATTTTTTGTGAATTCTCTTACTTGCTATCTAATACACCAGATATAGTTGCACTTATAATAAAATTTATTTGATTCCTAGAAGACGAAATGGGACTAAAAGTTTTGGATCACTTGAACGCCATTGCTTCATGCAATGACGTTCCTTTATCCTGACGATATAGGCCGCCCCGAGCACTACATATCTGAATGCCTCGCCACTAAACACTGGCTTCTGAAGACACAGCTTAGATAGAGAATACTCTTTCCAGTAGAGTTGCACAGTTTAAACCTGAAAGAACAATTATTATGCTTCCACATATGTGATAATTTCTCATCAGCAAAATCTGTTCTTTAAGAAATGTACATAGTACTCGTTACTCACATAATATTCTTCAATCATCTTATATTTAATTTTATATGTTTTGTGTGATTATCTTTTTCTTTTATTTAACACGTGCATTAATCACAGTTCTTCTGCATGTTACAGTTATTTTTAATTACTCATGTGTGCTGGGTTTTTAAACTCGCTTTTTTTTTTTTTTTTTTTTTAGTCCAAAGGGATTTGAATCCCGAAGGACTATTAGTTTCGTTTTGGCATTTTGCGTCGGACTCATAAATGTCGGTTCAACTTTTCAAACTGTTGCCACAAAATGTTAGAGTCCTGCATTATATTTGAAGAAATTAAATAATGAAAAATCTGCATAAATGTATGTATATTTCTCGTATTGTGATAAAACAACGGTACATAGAGTCATCGAATTTTGAATAACGTAATCCTCCAACGAATATGAGCATGTGGAAGACCAAATTTGAAATTTGAAATTTGTTTTATGATCGATTTCCTATTTTTAAAACTTTGACGAATTTTTGATTAACAAACTCAAGGATTTCAAAGCGAGCAATGGCAACGTTGTGCAGAAAAAACATTTTATCTCCAGCGCGTGAGTCTCTGTATCGGAAATTCTAAAGATATGCTCGTTTTAAAACTATTTTGCGATATTGCTGTTGCACTGGATCTTATGGTTTAAGTGCGAGGAACATGATATTTAATAAAGAAAGGTACAAATGTTAAAAAACGCCCCTTCGGACGTAATTTAAAATCTGAAACATTTCAGATTTTGTTTTTTATTTATTTATTTATTTATTTTTTGTATCTTTGCAGCTCTGTAACGAACATGATAGTGCTCTACTTAAAATACCTGTAATGAAGTGTTCCAGTATTATAAAGGTAGGTAACTAAAATTAATGATATTCATTATGATGAATATGTTAACTTTGTAATACTATTGCTGTGAAACACTGCAAAATTTATGCATATAATTTTTTACGCTATTTAATATATCTATATTATTAGTTATATTCATATATTTGTATTATATTTTTCCCTAAATAAAATTTCCGACAAGAATAACATTCAATTCCGCGTGTCATTACCTAGAACTGAGAAATCTTCATACGATGATAAATGTGAGAGTGGCTGTTACATGAATTCCAAGTTACTAAACAAAATATTTAGTGTCGCCATCTATAGACTGAATCTTTATTTAAAATATGAGTAAAAGATTTTGTTATATTTGACTCTATCATTTTACTCTTAATTGCAACATCAGTTGCACTAATAATTATTGAATAAATTCCTAAATTTACACAATTTGGATATAAATGACGTTTAGAAGACGTATGAAATGTCCATTTTATGCAGAATTGGTGTATAATCCAGAGTGTTTAAAAACGTTTTAAACGAAATGCGAGTAGCAGAAGTTTATCATTATTAGTTTTAGTTTTCAACAAACTTCATGTTCTTAAATGCACATAAGAAATTATAGAACACTAATAAATAATTTTTGACTTATGAACACTATTTGCAATTAATTATAAAAATTCCTCCCGCTTATCGTAAACTTAAAAAATAAGAATTTTTCATTCAACATTGCATATATGCTTTTTTAAATTTACAATTAAGTTAAAAAAAAATTTTTAAGCAGACCTGAAAGCATTTGCTGATTTCAGCTTTAAAATTAGGCGGAATTCAACTTTACACTGAAGTTACTTTTAAAGAAATTCTTTATACATTTTAACAGAATCTGATACGAATCTTGTTTTCCCAAAGCAAATTTCAAGTCGATAGCATGATAATTAAATAGAAAAGAATAAGACATTTCAAATACAAAGTAAACAATGCATACATCATAAGATAAATAATCTGAAATGTACACTTCGATTACCTTAGGAACACACACATTTTAGAAGCTGAATTAAAACACTTATGAATTATATTGATAAATTTTGTTGTTTTAAATTTTAGTTTTCTTAAAACTGCTTGCATTTCTTTCTATATCTTAAAAAAATCACAATGACATCTAATTAGTTATAAAAGAAATATTAGACTCTTTGCAAAAAATATGTAAAATTCGCAACGAACAAAGGTCTGTATCACAAATAATATTATATAGTATATATAACCATTTTTAATAACAGGTTTAAAAAATTGAGAATTCAAGCATAAGAATAAGTTTAAAATAATCAAATTTTATATTGAAACTAATAATTTAATTTAATTTAATTTACAACAAAAATTTAGAAAAAATTCTCTCCTTAAGCTGGGGTAATTACCTTCCTGCTCTCGGCATACGTATTTTTTAAATAAATAATGTCTTGAGACATCTGCTTAACTAAAAGAAAAATAAATAAAAAAATAAATTTAAAAAAAAAATCTGAAATGTTTCAGATTTTAAATTACGTCCAAAGGGGCGTTTTTTAACATTTTGTGTGTTACCTTTCTTTATTAAATATCATGTTCCTCGCACTTAAACCATAAGATCCAGTGCAACAGCAATATCGCAAAATAGTTTTAAAACGAGCATATCTTTAGAATTTCCGATACAGAGACTCACGCGCTGGAGATAAAATGTTTTTTCTGCACAACGTTGCCATTGCTCGCTTTGAAATCCTTGAGTTTGTTAATCAAAAATTCGTCAAAGTTTTAAAAAATAGGAAATCGATCATAAAACAAATTTCAAATTTCAAATTTGGTCTTCCACATGCTCATATTCGTTGGAGGATTACGTTATTCAAAATTCGATGACTCTATGTACCGTTGTTTTATCACAATACGAGAAATATACATACATTTATGCAGATTTTTCATTATTTAATTTCTTCAAATATAATGCAGGACTCTAACATTTTGTGGCAACAGTTTGAAAAGTGAACCGACATTTATGAGTCCGACGCAAAATGCCAAAACGAAACTAATAGTCCTTCGGGATTCAAATCCCTTTGGACTAAAAAAAAAATTTGAAATGTTTCAGATTTTAAATTACGTCCAAAGGGGCGTTTTTTAACATTTTGTGTGTTACCTTTCTTTATTAAATATCATGTTCCTCGCACTTAAACCATAAGATCCAGTGCAACAGCAATATCGCAAAATAGTTTTAAAACGAGCATATCTTTAGAATTTCCGATACAGAGACTCACGCGCTGGAGATAAAAATGTTTTTTCTGCACAACGTTGCCATTGCTCGCTTTGAAATCCTTGAGTTTGTTAATCAAAAATTCGTCAAAGTTTTAAAAAATAGGAAATCGTTCATAAAACAAATTTCAAATTTCAAATTTGGTCTTCCACATGCTCATATTCGTTGGAGGATTACGTTATTCAAAATTCGATGACTCTATGTACCGTTGTTTTATCACAATACGAGAAATATACATACATTTATGCAGATTTTTCATTATTTAATTTCTTCAAATATAATGCAGGACTCTAACATTTTGTGGCAACAGTTTGAAAAGTTAACCGACATCTATGAGTCCGACGCAAAATGCCAAAACGAAACTAATAGTCCTTCGGGATTCAAATCCCTTTGGACTAAAAAAAAAAGCAACAGATTCATAAACAAAATCTGAAAAATAATACATGTTTTATAAAAATAGGAATTAGAAGCTTATTTACTAAAATTCTCAGATTTTGATAAAATAGGTAACTTTTTTAAAAACAATATAGCACAAGAAATATTGAAATAATAATTTTTTGCCAAGAATAATGCAGATAAGCATTATTTCACTATTCTTAAGAAAAAAATAAATTTAATAGTATTTTGAAGAGATAGGATTGTCTCTTCGAATTTGACTTCGCAAATATTTCACATATTTAGAAAGGAACTCTTTAAACGGTCCCTTTCTAAATATTTGAAAAAATTACTTACCATATCTTGCAGCAAAAAAGGTATTGGTTATGAATAAAATATAACAATTTCACTCAGTTTATGGCAACAATTGAAGCCACAGAACCATCAATGAAAGTTAATCTTTAAAGAAAAGATATCTCATTCAGCATAATTCATATTTTCTGCCTTTTAATCTAACCTCAGCGTCTAGTATTCAGTCACATTATACAAACTTGGGAAATTAATGCTTTGAAAATACTTTGCGTTGATATTCCTAAACGTAAGCCTTTTTTTGCATTTGTTCTCAAATAACAGGATTGCAGTATTAGACCAAATGTTTTGAAGACCTATAGTTAACCGGCATTTCATTTTGCTTATTTATAAAAAAATTACAAAAAAATGTAGTCAGCGAGCTATTTTTACTCAAATAATAATAATGCTTCTATTTTTGCTTCAAAAGTTTAATTTAATAGATCATAATGGCGCAATGGAAGTTTTACAAAGTAAAGCAATTTCATTCATTAAAATTATTTTTTTTTTCACACAAGAGCCTTTTAAAACATCATCTATGCACTGTGTCAGATTATATAAGGTAAAGTTTAATTATTTCATATGATAAATGTCTTAAGAGGTTTTTCTGTCTTTTAGAAAACGCCAATATGGAAGATTTAATAAGAAAACTGGGTTCTCTTAAAGGGTTCAGTACGAAAGCCGCATTTAAACCACTTGAACAATTTCTAGGATCCGCGTCAGACATTATGTTGCGTTGTAGAGCCATTAGGTTATTTGGAAGCAGAAAAGATGAAAAATATGCAACCGCCTTCGCAGGGAATCGAACCACGGCCCAGCATGCTACCGTTACACCACGAAGGCACGCTAGGGAAGTGGGAGAAATACCTTATAGCGTGACAGAAAAAGAAGAGAGAAGGTTTAATTTATATTTAAAAGTTTTGTATTTAAATTAAAACTCAGAAAAGTCGAGCAAAGATTCAAAAATTTGTCAGTCATGCAGTTGCTAACTGCTTGTTAAATTTTATAATCCAATTATTTTTAATCAGAAGTCCTTTCTGCATGCTGAATCTTCCCTTAATGCCCACTAAGGAAAACGTTTATCATAGTCTTCAGTATCAAGTTCCAAATTCTTGGCGCGAAACTGCTTGGAAGGGCCCCCTGATGGCCTAAAAGACGGATGAAAGCCCCCCTTTTCCGACGGCATCCGGGTCACTGTCGGCTGCGTCAGTCTAAGGAAGACGGATGCGAATAGTTTCCTTTTCCTCAAAACGATTGGTGACAGTTCCTGTTGTGATCCTACATGCTAGGAGGTGAAAACGGGAAGCTAAATTGAAAATAATGTTAATGAAAGGTAACACAAGATAGGAAGAGAAGGCAGTGGGCCAAATATTTGAATGGGTGGACTTATCGAGATCTCAATCCTGTGAAAGCTCATCAAAGGTCGGAGACCTTTGGAAATGAGGTTGAACTGAAAGTTGGTTTAGGATTTCTGTTTTGACACCGGATCAAAGAGCTGAGGAGGATTTGTTTAACTAGTATCAATTTACACAGAGTGGGAGAAGAAGGAGATATAACCATGCTATTCATTCATGGTATCACTTTTTGAATTTACTTCTTTACCGGTTTAAGCAGTAAATAGAAATGACAGGGAGAAAATAAATATCTTTCAAATACCAATATCAATGAAAGTGAAGATTCTAATTTCAGACAATTAATGTGCGATTTTATTTGAAACAGAAGAACCTGTAAGTGTATATGTGTTGCACGTTGTTCTATTTAGTTCAGTGGGTAGCAATAAAATACAATCTCAAATCAAATAATTTTATTGTACGGCAAATTAACCCGACCTTATTGGGCTAATGTTGCTTAAATATAATGCGTATTGTTGCGTGCGTACGGGTTCGTTTGGAATTGAATGCACAAGTCCGATGAAAAATGAACAAAATTTATTATTACCACAACAAAAATGCTTAATTTTCCTCAGATATTCGTTCAGTATTACAATATCTCACAGTAGTTATCTTTTAACTACTCAAACATTCAAGAGAAC